TTTCCCCCTATTTTCACGATGTCATGTGCTGTTAGCGCTTAGTTATTTGTATTTAGAACCGCTAACTTGAATAATAACCCGCGGCAGCAGTATAAAAGTAGCCCGGAGTCAGGCGCACCTCTCGCGGGCGCGATTTGGAATCACAAACTTGGCTGCATTTGAGTCTTCAAGGCATTTTGAGGACACAACATCAAGGAAGTAAATTTTACGAATGTTACAGTATCCACTGTAGTTGTCCGCTAGTAAAAACAGTTTTATCAGTCATTATCTGTGTACGAACCAGCGCAAACAGATAATGTTACCTCACGAAGTTAGCCATCAGTCTCCTTGCTTAACGTTGAGCATACCAGCTTATTTCTGGTTCAAACACATATGGCTTAATTAAACCAATATTTCCACTTGCCATTGCATCGCGTTTACTACAAGTTCAGGAGGCACTGGCTCATGGCTGGCTGGTGTGTGACTGAGTGGAGGTGGGGCTAATTTGCGTATTCATAGATCCGCGTATAGTAAATGAGGCAAGGGTGTAGAGTTACATTCAAGCTATTTTAAGGCATGAGAAAATTATTTTCACAAGAATTTTTTTTTTTTGAATATGTAATTTTTATGATCAAAGATGAGTTTTAAAGGATACAATTTTTGACTACAGGGGGACTTTAAAATAAATATGGTATATTGTGCCCTATTTTTTCGGATTATTTTTTTCACAGTATGTGATACTACTGTAAGTAATAAACCTCATCTACTACTCTACTAACCCAATCAGCAACTGGAAAATGAAAAATACTAAGCAATACTGAAGGTTTTAGAGAAAAAGTGTCAAAACAAAGCTCTTAACAGTAAATTAAGTTTCAAGACAATCATTCATTTGGTGTAAAGCTTTAATTAAACATTTCAAGCAACTTGATAAACAGTACTGAAAATATATGCTAGGCTTTCAACAGGCCAGCTTAGTCTGGGCTGCTTACCAGAAACATCTGACCCTGTAGACTGCTGTCCCTGACACAGCTCAGCAGCTATAAAAGACACAATAACTGGTTTATTTCAAACAAACCTCTACATTAGTGATCATGTGCAGAAACATATGTAAAATCATGAAAATACAGCCATATAACTTGAAAACAGGTTTTCAGTGCAAAGCCAGATTAGCACTGTAAAATTACAATTCAATTATAAGATCAAATGAAAGCAATTGATTTTATATCCGACAGATTTAGTTGATTACAAATGTCTAGCATACAATAAAACTGGGACACACAGGGTTGTTGATTTGGGGGGAAAAACAGGTCAAGTTAATGCAACAGTGTTAAATGTGTGAAAAACATTCAATGTACAAGAAGGCTGTGGGTATCTGAAGTCTTTTACTGACAGATTCCATGAACTGTCTCACCCCATTGTATCAATCAACCCTAAAAACACGGCAGGAAGATACTAGGGACATGAACCCATCCCACTGGGCAACAGGCCTTTTACCTCCTTATCACCAACACCACACAAGCAACTCAACAACCTGCCAAACTCTCCCACACACTCAAGTACCAGGATGTCTTTTCTTTGAACTACAGCAACTGCTTTTCTTTATATCACCATTTCAGATGCCTCACACATATCAACAAGACATAATACAACAAACTCATCACTTTATGAAACCTAAGTGGTAACACTTTACAATAAGGTCCCATTCTTTAAAATTTGCTAACATAAATTAACAACTATAAGTATTTTTTACAGCATTCCTTCATGTTTGTTAATAAAACACAACAGTGCAATAACTAATGTTAAATTCAACTTGATTTTAAAACTATATTAGGAGGACGTTAAAATTAACATCGACTAAGAATAATAAATGCTGTAGAAGCAGTGTTCATTTTAAGTTCATGTTTACTAATGCAGAAAACTAGTGTTAACAAAAGGTACCTTCATGTAAGTTTATGACTTGAACAAGTTCTGTAGTTTTACGGTCTTTCTTAAAATGTGTGAACTGCGTTTTTAAAAGTTTCAATACTTTTTTCTGAAATGTAATGAGGATACATAACACACTAAAATTACCTCTCATAAACTCTAACAACAACAATTTTGCATTCATAATTTGGGTAGACACAGTCAACTTTAGCTGAACATCGCGACTGTGCAAATATATAACAAAGTGTTACAAATCGACCGAAACCATTTGCAAAATTTGGAAGCAGAATAATTAACAATTTATTAACTAGAACTTTAGTTAGTAGCTTTCAGTACCTGGCTAACTGGAGAAAGTCAAACTGGTGCCAAACTACCAACGTTAAAACGTCTAAAACTCACATAAAACAACTAGACCGAAACCTCTAAACTGCGCCAATATCTCCAAACCTAAAATAGTTAGAACGTACGTGCTGTTAACGTTTTTAAGATTGACGCGCATAGGAGTTTAACAAGCGGCTGTAAATTCAAAAGCCAGCAGGTCAATAAGCTTAGCTAGCAAGCTAACAACAACAATGGGCCTACAAAACAAACCATCGACAGGGATGGAAAATAAGACTAAAGTACTATAAGCTAAAAATAAATATTTGAACACTGGTGTCATGTGCAACCGAACAATATTAAACTACATTTTTATCTTTAACAAAAACCCCACACTTATTCAGCTAGCATCTCGTCGCTAGCACGCTCGCTAATCATAATACTCACCACCAGCTGCTCCAACGGGATACATTTTAAACGCTTTCTGCACCACAATTCAATCGCAGATCGATACCGTTAGTTTTTCTGATGCCACGTAACACATGCGGTAACGGGAAAGATGAATTTTATTTTAAAACAGCATCGATATAAAGGAGAAAAGTGAGAATAATGAGCGCGCTGAGTTAGGGGAGCACGAGAGCTCTGTGTGGCCCCATCCCATCCCCCCTCACCACACGAGCGCCTATTTACCCGACACTCACACTCTCTCACTGCTTCAAAGCGAAAGCACATAGACGCATTTATGTGAGGTATCTCCCGCGTCGCCTTATGTTTTATTTAATGTATGTATTCAAATGTACCAAAAGCAGTATCAAAACATTCGTTAAATTTAATTTAACAACGTCTAAATAAGACTGGTGGTCATGGTACGTCATTTCCGGCTTTGTTTAGAGAATATTAAAAAATATATATTTCAGAATCAGAATGAGCTTTATTGCCAGGTATGTTTACACATACGAGGAATTTGTTTCTGTGGCATATATGAATGTGAAAAGTTTTGCAAATTTGCAAAAACAAATTTATTTTGTTATATTTATTTATATTGTATATGTTTTTTTTTTTGTTATTTCTCGCAGTTGTGTTATTCTGTTGTATCACACAATGTAGCCTATTTTGTGGATTTATTAACTTATCATCTTTTATTAATAAGGCTGGGCAGTGTCAGAAACACATTTTAAATAGGGGAAATTTGTTTCACAAAACAATGACACAAAATTTGTCATTTTTTTCTGACCCCGAGGGTTGGTTTTTATCATTTGATTAAGCATTCAAATATTAGGCTTTTATTTTAAATATTCGTATACATAAAATATACTTAATTAACTATGGAGACCAAACTATTGAGTTTGGAAACATTTGCTTTACACCAATTAATTTTTAATGTGTAAATTGGATTTATTTACTTTTTTTTTTTGGTTGTACCAAACTCCTTCAAACTGTTTTTGTTCATACATTTTTTGGTCAAACATAATTCATTAGATTGTACAGAATCATTAGGCCTATTGTTTAATCGTATGATCAGTCAAGGGGATTAAATCTTAAACCACTAACCACTGATTTCTTACTAGACTGTCAGTTTGTCAGGTTAGACATTTTTCCTCATCATTTAGGCCCATGGCTAGTCAACACCTGCATTAATGCACTGTTACAGTGGCCATTGTCTTGTTTGAAGATGGATAACAGATGTAAAGAAACTCGGACTACCATGAGTTTATTGATTTATCTCCACTTGGTGGCACCATTTCACCACTATTGCTGACTACCTCACTGAATGCTTGCTAGACAATGATTTTCATTAACATTTAAGGAACAATAATAGTACAAACTAGCAAAATTTTGAGTCGTTAAATTATATTGCACAGATTTGAGTCATTATCATGAAATCAGGCACACTCATGCTATAAGTAGGCCTTTTCATGTATTGCTGCCATAAATAATTCTCAAGCACCCGCTGCTGACACAGATGGACATATAGATCAAATCATATGATTTGATTTAGTGTTTAATGGTAAATTATTGTAATCTGAAAATAAGAGCATATTCTGGTTGCAAATATGCAAATTAATATGTAGATTAACTGACGAATATCCTATACAAACACACACAAAACTGTTTAATCCGTAGAACGTCTGAGAGGATATAACTAAACAAAACAATATCTGTAGGCTATATGTAATTATATCTGCCTTTAAAGTACCGTGTTCCAAACATATTTAAGGAATCAGACATTTTTGCTACATGGTGAGAGGAAGATTTACATGGAATAGATCAGCAGCCGTCTTCTTCGTCCAGTGAAGGATTTATATCAAATAATAATCCATTTCCCTTTCAATTTGTTTGTAAACATACCATAAATACCTCTATTAAGTTTTTCGTTCTTCTGAAACTGGTTGAACGAGTTGGGGAGTAACTGCCGTCTGCTGCGCTCTTTGGCCAATGGCACTAGATCCTCCCTGCAGTGCGTAACACCGCAATTTAGGATTTAACCAAGTCTTTGCTGCGGGGCTTAAAGCAGTCTTCAAGAGAGACGCTTGCACACACAATGTTAGTGTAGACTCTGTGGACCCCTATAGAGTTAGGCTGCCTTTTTACGTTGTCTTATCCAAACTATGACTGGAGTATTCGACAGAAAGATCCCGAGTATTAAACCTGCAGATTTTCTAAACCCTTTTCAGCTCTCCACGATGCATCATCCATCTCAGGAATCTCCAACCCTACCGGAGTCGACAGCCACGGATTCTGGCTATTACAGCCCTGCTGCAGGAGTTCATCATGGCTATTGTTCACCGAACGCGGGCACGTATGGAAAACCTCTTAATGCCTATCAGTACCAATACCACGGAGTCAATGGATCTTCTGGAAATTACCCTGCAAAATCCTACCCTGATTACGGCTCATACTCTGCAGCATATCACCAATATGCCGGAACATATAATAGGGTGCAGTCACAACCGAGCCCGCAAGGTTAGTTATTGTATCATTTTTTCAATTATTGTTATTTTTATAATAATTATTGTTTATTATTATTATGATTATACATAATAAACATTATCATGGTTGAGCATTATTGCTGAACATATTATATAACCAGGGTATTACAGTTGTTTTTTATTATAAGGTCTGAATTTTGTAACTAATTTGGACGAAATTTTAAACTGCTGTAGCATTGCATCTAATTCGAAATGGGTTCTTTAACGATTTACTATGTTTTATATATATACATTTACAAAACACTACATGCGTAAAAATATAGATTACATAGAAAATAGAAGCATTTCAAATGCGTAAATATTTAAGAAATTATTCTCTGACAATCAAATGTCTCAATGACTTTATGCGAGTAGCAATTTGAAAGCACTATACGACACTTGACATAGGCTAAATCACTGCAAAAAATTACCAACAATCAAGGGAGTGCTTTTCTATCCCCATGTATTCATCTAATATTTGTTCACCCGTTAGAAAAAGAAACAGCCGAGCCCGAAGTGAGGATGGTCAACGGTAAACCCAAGAAAGTCCGGAAGCCCCGCACCATCTACTCCAGTTTTCAGCTCGCTGCTCTACAGAGGAGGTTTCAGAACACGCAATACCTCGCGCTTCCAGAGAGAGCCGAGCTCGCGGCATCGATGGGACTCACACAGACACAGGTTCGACAATATTTTATTGTAATGTCTTTTATGTAATAGGCCTACTCAAATAATAATAGTCCTATATATTTGAAATTAAAATATTGATATGAGCTTGCGGCAACGTTGGGAGTCACAAACGCTTGTTTAACATTTAGGCTTAAGTATTTTTCAAAGGCTGTTAAAATAATAGGCCGACGCGATGTTAACGACATCATAATTTTTTTTTAAGGAGTATAAATCTGGCAGAAACAGCCATTGTGCTTTATTCAGGAATTTGCCCTCAGAATCTCATAAACCCTTTTGTTTCTTCACAGGTGAAAATTTGGTTCCAGAACAAGAGATCAAAACTAAAGAAGATCATGAAAAACGGCGAACTGCCTCCAGAACACAGTCCGAGCTCCAGCGACCCGATGGCGTGTAATTCACCGCAGTCTCCCGCGGTCTGGGACTCACATGGTCCTCAGAGACATCACCATCAGCCGCAAAATATTAACACACCGACATCCACGTTTCTGGAAAGCGCCAGCTCGTCCTGGTATTCCTCCACCGGGGCAATGAATTCTCACCTTCAGGCACCCGGCACGTTACAGCACTCGTTGGCACTCGGATCAGGAACGTTGTACTGAAATTTGTTTATTATTTTGTTGTAGGCCTATATTGGACTGGTGTTAACATTTTTTTTTTTTTGAGGAATATGCAATGTATCGATATGGCAGTCCTAGAAGAACGTGTATAATGTGTAAATTGTGTGCATGTAATTTATTGCATTTTGAAGAATTATTAAATGTTTTAAATGGACAACGAACCCAAACATTCTGAATGGTGCCTTGAATTTTGACCTCAAGGCGTACATCCGACGATGTGCCAAAACATTAAGGACAACCCCAAATAAATGTGTTTTTCTTTAATTATCAAACATTTTGTCTTCTTTAAGTTAATTTATAACTTAAAACAGATCAATGCACCGAGCACTTTGTTTGGCATTAGAATCTTTGTGATATGCTGTTTGCTCGACTTTTCTGTGATTGGTAAAGGGACTTCAACTTTGCGGGCCTATAAAAAAAGAAATGTTAAATGGAATTTGAGGAAATGATATTGTATTAACATTTTGGGATCGTGTGTTGTGGGCTGAGTCACTATTTTATGGCAAAGAAAAAGATAACATTTCTACAGTCTAATTAAAAAAAAACAATAGGATTTCCCTCGGATTTGGTCTTCAGTTAATAATTAAATGTAATATTTTAAAGGAGTGTATTTGGTGGTTAGGCCTACTATTATTATTAGCTAATTCCAAATAAATAAATCGTTTTTATATTGTTTTTTTACGTTAGTAGGACTGAATGTTTGATCTTCGTCTTGATTAAAACAACCCCTGACGAACGAAAAATTTAGTCTGGCAAACAGTGTGCTCTGCCTTGCTGTCTTTGTGTTCCTTACAATTAGTGGGCTTTGAATTGTAGCGAGGTGGCGAAGGGACGGCACGGAGATCTGAGGCAGTCCGCATGCCTGTGGGGGCAACCCGGCTCCAGCGACCACAACCCAGCCCTGGCAGATCCTCCTCCTGGAAAAATGCTGAACATCTCATTAAAACCGGTGCTAACATTTCTACAGCTGACTGCCACGATCAATCGTGAAAAAAGGCCACCGGGGCATGGCTTAATTTGAGATTTTCTTTGTTGACTATGCAGATAATATTGTAAAACCAAATTAATAATAATACATTTTAAAAAATCGGCCCAGCGAAATACTTCGTGGCTATTTAGGCCTATTATAGGCTATTTCCTCAAGTCATCGGCAATCGTTTCAGTATTCAAAATACACATCCGTAAAAAAATATGACTGAAGTCCGATTTTTCTCCATAACACCAGAATAGAATTGCTAGGCCTCCTTGCCATGTTTTGAACACTAAAATGATGCTTAACATATGCTACCTAAAACAAAAAGTAAATCTATTAAATAGGCTACGCTATAGGCATATTTTTTATGGTTTTATTTGAAAGCCTATATAAACACCAAGTCATCGTGACGAATATACCCAATAGAAAGCCATGACATAATTATGAGAATATAGTAGTATGTACTAATAGGCTTATGCATTGTTTATATCCCTCACCCCCCTCCCAAGCAGACGTTGCGTTCACGCTCAAAACACACGCGCCATCAACTCTAACACTTTGCCTCTCTTCCTATTTCACGTACACAAACACACTATATCCCATGCCATTATATCGAGAGCCTTGTTAAATTCCAACTGAACATTTTCCACTCTACGAATTCACTGCAAACCGTGTATAAATAAGCTTTACTGGACACCCTCAACTGTAACACTCAACAATAATTATACTTCCACCAGGATTAGCTCCATTATCATAATCTGGACATTTACAATTATCTATAATTTGCAAAGATGCGCCTGGATCTTGATTGCAGAAGGTTTTTTTTTCGCTAGCTCACCATCACTAAACAGTGACAGTAATAACGGCTAATTTTTGCAGGCAATATATAAGAGGTGTCGGGGTGTGCAAACACTTTCACACCTGGATTTGCTTACTCAACACAAGCGGTACACAGGAGCGTCCGCTTTCACAACGGTATCTTTATTGAAACATTGAAACCAGAGATTTTGATATATGCCAAACAATAAATGTATCGAAGGTAAGTGTTGCTCTATTACCATGTTGTTTTGTTGTTGGCTGATCTGAGTGTCGCTGATGGGTGGGCATTGTTATAATCTGCAGTTTGACTTGTTGGGAAAGCCATGCTATTTTACATGAAAACGTGTGACCCACGAACGCTGGGATGTAGTAAACCGGTCATGATTTATATTGGTAATGATTTATATATCTCTTTCTTTCACTTGCGCACACATATTCTTGTATAATAGTGCTTTCTCACAATTCTTAGATTAATTCTAAGTATTGTTAGCCTCGTGCATTTCGGTATCCACGGCTGTCTGTCTGTCCGTGTCTGTCAGGGGCCCTCTATATGTAGGGGCCCTTAACTCTCACGAACATATTTTGTTTTTATTATTATGCGTAATCAGTTGCGATTCAACCAAATAAAATTCAGGTGTAGTATTTTAGGTTGCAAAAAATCTCAGTGTAGGCTATATTTTGAAGACATTACTGTGTGCATCTGAAACCAGTGACAAACGTGTTTTTGACAGTTCCTATTTCAACATATATGTTATGTTCCTATAGGCAGAGCAAACATTTAAATGAACCATCCCAATCCGTTGATGAGGGAACCTTTTTAGAAAATCAAGCCCCATTTTCTGCGGCTGGGGCATCCACGATTTGACAGCTGCAGGGGCTTCTCGTCTCCCTATTCAACATTGTAATTTTAGATAATATCCCAATCGTTCACTCTCCTCGGCAATTTGTACATGAATAACCGAATAATTTAATCTTTTGTTTCGTCTTCGCCACTTCAAATCCAAATAAAGCTGCCTTTTAGTATTAAAAGTGGTAGAAAATTACAGGTAATTATCTTTGACGGTAAAAACGCTGTAATCAGCGGGCTATATCAAAAATTACCCTAATTATGTCTGCATTTATGAGAATGGAAAAAAAAAACCTCTCTTGGATAAAACCCATAAATTGTCCCAAATATCTCCTTCATATTGAACGAGACTGCAGCTGGATGCTTTGTTCAGGATCGATCCTGTGGCGAAAGGCATTCAGCGTCTCGCAGATCAGGGCAGGGAGAAAGGGGAAAAACATTTTGTCAATACCTTAATAATTGAGCTAGAGAATGACAAGATGGACAAGATGCAGCTCTATTCTGTAGGAAAAACACTTTCCACCAACCATCAACTCGGGTAAGCTATTTTGTTATTGCTTCAGATAGCTTTCCAGCATGAGAAAAAATTCATAATGTGGTGGTAATTATTTACATTTTACTGTGCACGTTGTTTATAGGTCCTACTTTTATATGTTTTATAAAGAAATTATTTATTCAATGCAGATTATTCCAATAATCAAATTCATAACTGATTCTAAAAAGTCTGTTTCATAATGTCTCCAAAATAAAAAAAGGCACGACACGATACTTGAAGTCATGTTTACTCCATTTATGACAAAACATAAAAAGTTAACAACTAAAATCGGACAATATATTTACAATCAAATTGTTTGCTTTTGCATGATCAGAACCATCTACGCAAGAGGTTTGAGTTCGTTTTCAAATGCGACTCAAGCGCGTGATATGACGTTTCGCTTCCTGTTCCAATTTCATGTTGGCGATGAGTGTGTTTGATTACAGTCAAACGTAAGAACAGATTTTTTGAATCAATCCGTTTATGATGCTACTAACAGTTAGTTCCATTGTCGACCTTCACCACATCAAATGTCTTCATCCTTCAAAATAATTCGTCGCCTTAATAGGCGTTAAACCGATGACAACGTGCGTACTAGCGCACGTGAACTGGGCGAAGACAGGATGTCAACATCAAGGCCTCTGGCCTAAAAAGGGTTAGTTGCCTATCTCTGCATGGCGTCCTGATGAGGCGACGAGTACCAGTGTGAGTAACCGGGCATGTAGCTGTTAGCAGACATGTTTACTCCTTTAGAGGAGGCTGAGACGTCCCAGATAGGAGGAATGGCTGGAGAGCGCGGGGACAGGGCGATGGAGCCGGGCAAAGGGTCACTCTCGTGAGGGTTACCGCCTTGTTTCAACAACTTCTTGAACTTGGACCTTTTGTTTTGAAACCATATCTTTACCTGAAAGACAAATAAAAAAAATTTAGGTTGCTAAATTGTTAAGTTAAGGTGATGTCTAATTTAGTGTAACATGATATTTTATTTTTGTCAGGGTAAAAAATAAACAAACGTATTATACAGCCTGCTTCCAAAACACCATTATTCCACCATTATCAATAACAACAATCAAGATATAATACTCAACCTAAATGAGCAACACAATAAACTAATAATGTAAATGAGTCCACATCTCACCTGCGTCTGTGTGAGCCCGAGAGAGGCAGCCAGTTCCGCGCGCTCTGGTAGCGCCAGGTATTGAGTCTGCTGGAAACGGTGATTTAGTGCCTGGAGCTGCAAACTGGAATAAATCGTCCTCGGTTTTCTGATCTTTTTGCCTTTTCCGTTGAAACGTATTTCCCCATTTTCAATCACTGTTGTTTTCTGCTGTTCTGAAAAGGGTAAATATTGTGGAATGATTCCCGCACATAAATATAAGTCTGTATTGAATTTTAAAGGCGATTTTTTTGATCAACACAAATAGTCTGTAATGTCCTTTCAAGCACTCTATAGCATAATTACATTGTCTGTCATATTTAGGAAATTGCATGTAGTGACATGTCGAGACGGAGACAATTAGATGCTAATTATAATTTGCAATGGTGGGTAGAATCACTGGCGGAACGCAATAAATCATTTTGAGGAGAACACCGTTATCGCTGACATAGGACGGGCAAAACTAGGCGACAACAAAAGAAAACGGGTAAGGACCTTTAAAAAAATAACTTACAATGCTTGTCCCATGTTACATTTTATCGAAGTACAGCTTTCCTTGGTTAGGTTAGCAATGAAAACGGAGCTGTATGTTTACGCATGTAAATACGCTTACCTGTGGCGTCTAACCTGGTCTGTGCTCCGCTGGCGTTACTGTGGTAGGACGGCAGGTATGGACTGTGGTGGGGATGGCTTACATAGGAGTAAGGTAGCGACCTGTTATAGGAGTTCGAGCCGGAGTACGGAGAGCTGTCGTGCTGCTGCTGCTGATGAGACGCGGAATGGAGACAGTGGAGCGGATAATGGCTGGCGGCCATCGACGGGGAGCTCTGTTGTGAGTGCGATTGCTGTCCAAACTCCATGAAAGCAGATTTTGACGAGTCTTGAGCCTCCAGACCGTCAGCCATCGTAGTCATGGTCA